AGTCAACCAGTCTCATTCTTAACTTTATCTTTTTTTATACGAAACTCTACACTTTAATTCCGTGTAAGACTATGCATTTCTTTGATACGTTGCTCAATTATATCTGAGTATCATAACAGCTTATGTGCCTTTCAACAAACACTGTTGTTTATTTACTCGTGAGAGCTCTACTCCGTTGAGCGGTTTTTATCAACATACCATATTTTATCAACATACCATATTTTATCAACATACCATATTTTATCAACATACCATATTTTATCAACATATCATATTTTATCAACATACCATATTTTATCAACATACCATATTTCATCAACATACCATATTTTATCAACATACCATATTTTATCAACATACCATATTTTATCAACATATCATATTTTATCAACATACCATGTTGCAGATGACCAGCCTCACAATATTTTAAGACTATCTAAGATGTTATTAAATGCAGCGTTTAAACTTTATTTTGGAAATTTTACACACGGTTTACTTACATTCATAAAGCGAGGAAGAGCATATTGCTGAAAACGCTCTCACTTCATTGACTGATGTCATTGAAATAGGTTAACTCTACTGCACTATTGACCGTTAGGATCGAAAAACGGTTAATGGTTGTGCTTTTACAGTAAAACTAACGAAAAAAAAAAGAATTCCCTTAAAATTACTGCATCGAAGAGCTATAAGTACACGATTGATCAAATATATTATATAATTAATGGACCTTTTACAATCGATCAGCATATTATAATACCTGCAACGTAATAGCATAAACTGCGTTTGATAACGGAACATCCTTAGTATATTGTTAACATGTCAGTATTATAAAGTACGAGCCGGCCCGCGGCATAACATACGCTGACACTGAAAATATTTCTTTAAAACACTATAAGTAGCTCGTTAAGGACCATACCCCCCCCCCCTTTCTCCCCCCCCCCCCAACGTTTAAAATCGTCTCAAACTAATTTATCTGCCCCTAATAGCCGTCACTAAACCAAACTCCACGAAGGTAAACATAACGTGAACCACAGCTCACTAAGACCATGTAGGGGTGGGGATGGTAGGGAGCGCATTTACAGCTTGTTTTCTAGCGTCTCCCAGAAGAGAATTATATATATACGAGCCGGCCCGCGGCATAACATACGCCACTATTTAGTTGTTGTTTTTTCTACTTTTCAGTAATTCATAATTTGTGAATTCGACAGTACCAACGCTGACACTGAAAATATTTATTTAAAACACTATAAGTAGCTCGTTAAGGACCATAACCCCCCCCCCCCTTCCTTCCCCTTCCTTCCTTCCTTCCTTCCTTCCTTCCTCCCCCCCCCCCCACGTTTAAAAATCATTTCAAACTAAATTATCTTCCCCTAATAACCGTCACGAAACCCAACTCCACGAAGGTAAACATAGCGTGAACCACAGCTCACTAAGATCATGTAGGGGTGGGGATGGTATGGAGCGCGCTTGCAGCTTGTTTTCTAACGGCTCGCAGAAGAGAATTATATATACGAGCCGACCGCGCTGCGTATCATACGCCGCTATTTAGTTTTTTTTTTCTACTTTTCAGTAATTTATAATTTGTGAATTCGACAGTACCAATGCTGCCACTGAAAATATTTGCTTAAAAACACTAAACCCCCCTTCCCCCCCCCCACGTGAAAGCAGCCTCCTCTTAGTTACCTCCTCTAAGTTTAAAATCGTTTCAAACTAAAGTATCTGCCTCTAATAGGCGTCACCAAACCCGTCTCTATGATTGTAAAATGTAAACAGCGTGAACCACAGCTCACCAGACCATGTGAGAGGGTGGGGGTGGTAGCGGTAGAGAGGAAGAGAGGGGTCTGTAAGGCGCGCTTGCAGCTTGTTTTCTAACGGCTCCCAGAAGAGAATTATATATATAGATAGATAGATAGATTACACGTATAATGTGTGTATATATTGAAGTTGTAATAATTTATAAGATGCTCCAGAGATGTAAAGATGAAGTACGTGATGTGACCGTTTAAACGTTACAATATAGGCAGACTCGTTTTATGTTGCCAGAAATATTTTTTGTCTCAAGCTGACAGAAATGTTGAGCTGTCTCACAGTGCTGAGAAGCAGTGTAGAACATATATGTGTCATCGATCTTTTGTCTATTGGAATTAAAACAAGATACATGCCTTTACAATGGGATACATGTTTTTTTTAAAACTTATACTTATATAAAATAAACCAGGAGTGATCTCCCCTAAACTTTCTCGAATATTCTTATATCAAATAACAGGGGATGGGAACTCGGGCTATAGACATGATTTTTAATCCATTTTAAATACTTAAAGTTTTAAAAATAGAATAAAATCTCGTAGACAAATTAATTGCACACCAAGTGAACGCCAAATAAAAAAGTGCATAATACTGCGCAATATTATTAGTACTCTAAAAATTATTTACATTTGTTTTTTGAGAAATCGGAAGTAGCGTAAATTACTACTTCCGGTCAACGGAAAGTACTCAAAATTTAAAAAAAAAGGTAGAGAATTAGATCTTTTACTTACATGTGAAAATTCATTTATCTATCTGAAATAGTACTCAAGTTATAGGCTTTTGAAAATTCAAACTAGGAAAAGTACCACTTCCAGTTATAGGAAATCGCTCAAAAGTTGATACGGATCTACGATTACTTATATATGAAATTTCATCAACCTAGCTGTAACGGTACTTAAGTTATCGTGTTTACACACGGACACACACACACAGACAGACAGACACACAGACATACGGACAAGATTGCAAAATTATATTTTTCCGTATCAGTGAGGTGTAAAACGTCGAGATTTGTAAAATCTCGATTTTTTTTGCACGATTACAAGACTTTCTCTATACTTCGTATATACGAGAAAGTAAAAATAACTTAACGGTGAAAAAAACCCTTTTCAAACAAACACGTAAACATGATTATAATGGGATGGAATTTACTGCTTATTGTTTCTCAATTTAAAGCCAACTTAACCATATTTTATGCTTACAAGTTTTTATAAAATACTTATATATTTTCAGGACTTGACATTTCATTGAAAAGAGAATACTATATGGAGGGTAGAGATTTATTCTGTCCCAACTTACAGTGTGTGGAGAGCACAAGAGAAGATAATGAAATCTCAGCTCTTGTCAACATGTCAGTCTATAGGATCAGTGAATTAGAGGGAAAGATTATGTTGGCGTCTGTATCAGAATCAGATTCAAGAGTTCGAGATTATAAAGTAGCTGGATCAAAAGTTGATGGGAAGTTTTCAAAGGTATCCGGAGAGCTGACTGTGTCATTTACAAAACCTTCTGATTGTTTTAGTACAGTGTTTGGATGTGATGTGTATTACACAAACAGAAGGGGTCTCATTGAGAAGAAAGAAAATAAAACCAAACCTGTTGTCCAAGAAAATCGTAAGCCGCTGATGTTGATGTCCTTAGAGGCTAAAACTCCAGAGTTTGATAAAACAATTGATAGAATGTCTGAGTTTCTAAAAACATTTAAATATTCTGATCCGTTAAACAGTGCTGACTTGAAGATGAATTTACAGTTTTTAACAGATGACAAAAATTCTAACCTTAGTTATCATAAAACAGAATTAACTAAGGAGAAGAATGATGAAACCTTAGTTAACCTTACCAATGCGATGGAAAGTAGATTAAATAGCTTGTTATCTGCCCAAGGATCTACAATTCAGAGACTTGAAAATCAAATGAACAACGTTGTTAACAGATTGAACACCTTAAATAACACAAATCAAGAGCTCACGCATTTGAAATACAACTTAACTGAAAACTTACTAAAATCAAATCAACAGATAGAAGCAAATAATACAAAACTTCAAATGCAAATTAGGTCGGTACAAAATGTAACAAGTCTATACAGTGTTTTACAAAAGCAACTGGAGAAACTGAACTACAGTGTGGTTAATGTGTCTTTCGATGTTCAGAGGTTGTCTCAAAAATCAAATGAAAGTGAAACTCTAACAAAAATCTTGCAAGATTACAAAAACGTTTTACTAACTTTGACTAAAGAAATGATTCAAAATAGCACAGCGATATTGGAACAACGTCAAAATATAAGCATTCAACAACTGGGTGAAACAAACAAATTTCTGTCAGAGACACAGTCAGAGACACTGAGTGATTTAAAAACAGCTGTATCACTACTAAACAATACTGACATCGATATACACGCCAGTATGGAAGAGATGAACAGCACTATTCAAAACATGATTACTAAATCAGATCTAATTAGTGTCCTAGTCAGTAGGTTACATGGTGACCCTGTTCTCAACGGAAGTGAACACGTAAGTTTAATAGAATGTGTTTATCATCTTACTCCGCTTACTCCCAATTTGGTTTTTTCCAGTTCAGCCATTACATATGACAATGCTCCCAAGAAGTTTAAATTTAAAGTATTTTACGCAGGCATGGCATGTTTTCGCATTAGACTTACAACAATACAATGCGTCAAATGTAGAAAAACTAAAATGTTTGTTATTAAATTTTTATATTTTTTTATGTATTCAGATAATATTCTGACAAATGTTAGCTGGTGATTTTTTTAAAAAAAAGATTGCAAAATCAATAACTGTTTATAAAAGTTGGATTTAGTAGAATGTCTTTAAAATACGTAACATCACCACTTTTCTCGAAAGCTGAAGCTGTGCCAGGAGCGCACATGTTCATAAAGTAGTTCCTTGTCTCGACAATGTTTAGTAAAATAAACGAGATATTAAATTGACTATCTTTGGCAAACATTTTTAACACATACTTACATACTTACATATATTTCTGTGAATATATTTATACTTAATCATACATAAACACGCACAAACATATCTATATGTATGTATGTATACACATATGCATGTGTATGTATATATTCTTCGTGGTTGTGTCGGTATCTAGTGCTTTGAATAAACATATTTGTTTTCAATTAATTTCGTTTGAACTAATAATAAATACAAATATGCTACTTTTTTCTCCAGTTAAAATGTACCAAAATGAACGATCGTATTTTAGTGGACATGACGTTTACTGGAGTAGATGTTAACAGAACATTGTGTGATAACAAGACTGACGGTGGAGGATGGATTATTATACAGGTTGTTTTTTTTTTGTCATTTAAAACATTCTTAGACATTTACCAATATAGCTTTTTTCCTACATTTTTTTTCTAACAGTTTTGTTGTATTTATACCATTGAAAACACCTGTATAATATAAAATGATAGACAACGTTAATGTTGAGAGTGAATTTATTTTGAAGATTGTTCTCGGATAAAAATATGTTTGTGATGTATGTATACAATTTGGGATTTACTTATAAATCAAATCAACTTACGTATGTTTACCACTGCCGTTATTTTATACATAAACTTTTTTTATTTCTTAAATATTTTCATTTATATTAACATAAATATTCTTTAGAATCAATTAAATGAAATTGCTTAAAACTTTATTTTAGCATTGTCATTACTTCTTACAGAGACGTATCAAAGGTGATGTGAACTTTACAAGAACTTGGAACGATTATAAAAACGGATTTGGTTCAACATCTGGAGACTTTTGGATCGGAAATAGTGTAATTTCAAAATTGACAGATTTGGTAAGGAAATAATGTCTGCTTAAAAACTGAATTGTGTACCAAAAAAAAATAACGAAGTAATACTTATTAATGTGTTTAAGGGGACTGTGTTAAAGTGATTGTACCATACACGCACTGCACTATGTAGATGTTTTCACTTTAATTCTAATTGTTAAAAAGTCACTTTATTCGATACTTGTATACACTAGCTTGTTAGTTTACTTATAATATAACGGTTTCACAACAACATGGGGACGGAGTGTTCTAGCGGTAGAGAGCTGGACTGCTAACCCGAAAGTCTCGAGTTCGAATCCGGGTTAAAGTTAGTAGACCGTCCCTGAGTCCGAACAACTCTGATGGGTACCTAATGATAGGGAAAGTATAGGCGGCTGGGCATAGTGCTGACCACACTATCTCTTCAAATGCCGAGGTCACAGAAATAATATCGTCAGATTTGAAAGGGAAACTTTACTTTTACTTTCACAAAAACATGGGGTCTTTTCATCATTAAAATTTCAATTTGATCATAGCTGTTTCAACTTGATTTTTTAAATTAACGAAGTATTTACTTTAAAATTAGTACTAAGGTGTTGTGATCAAGAAACTCGGAAGCTAAGAGTTACATATATATTACCCAACCGTAAACCTTATACATTCGAGGTTGTAAACGAGTTTAGTATTAAGCCGCCGTAGAGGTTGTATACTGATCGAGAAAAAAAAATACGATGGTCTTTTAGACACGCTCTGAATAGCTACAAAAATGTAGGCTACAGCTTGACCTAGATGCATTGCTGAGGTGTAGGTAAAATAAATAAATAAAATTCAAGAATTGGACGATGAAGATATATGACACATGTGAGCGGAAGAATGTATTGAATCTGGCTAAAACTGTTAATGGGCTGTTGAAAAAGGGGATAAATAGATGGATGGATAATATAAGCTGCAAATGTGGAGATACGTAGTGAATGCAAAGTCTTGAAATTTCTGCTATTAATATAGCATACAATTGTTTACAGTTACTAATACATTCAGTTTGATAATTTTATTTAATCTTCATATCGATTGGACTGTGCGTCTGGTGTACACATGTCACTGAAATGCACATTTTAATCATCAGTCATGGCATTGACTATTTAAAATACATTTAAATGGACCTAGATTAAGTAACATGCTATTTTAATGGCGAATGCATAGTAATGTATTTCGTTGAGTTTTTTAAATTTTAGAAAACAATAGCTAACTAACGAAACAAATACTATACATCTTCAATTAATATGACGAAGGTGCATTTACTGCACATGCAGTATGTTAATAGATGAATAAATTAACAAAGCGTGTTTTTATTTTTATAGGGAAAAAAGCTAAGTGTCTTGATCCGTTGATTTCAGAAGTGTTTATTAGATAAACGATATACAGATTAGTAAGATATTTTTAGAAAGGGTAACACAGCTTATATTATAAAGATCGTGGTTATGTAACGAACATTAAAGAATAGTGTAATGCAGTCAGCAGGATATTTTCCGCCGGTCATTTCTTCCTCTACCGGTTTTATCAACAGTTCTATTCCACACCCTCCCGCCTGCCCTCACCTTTATTATATTAACTCCATTACACAACATACATATAGAGATACAAATAAGATACGTTGTAAGATTTAGAATTAGGGCTATTGAGCTTATCAAAAGAAGGAAAAGTACATAAGTTATATATATTGTAAGGGAAGATGGGTTTACTAACTGCGAGCGTGTTACAACGGCAGGCAAAGTAAGGAGATTAATGAAAAGGAGGGAGTTCTAGAAAAGCCATACGTAAATTGAATATAAATTGTATTTCTTGTAAGAGAATATATTTTTAATTTGCAATGCTAGCAGGCAATAGATAATGTAATATTTCCTTTCTCAACAGTCGTCTTTTGTTTTAATGATGGGATAGATACAGGAACTATCAAAATAAGTTTACTCAATATTTTCTTTTTACATAGAAAGTTTCAAGCAACGTGTGTTTTATTGTAATAATGTGTTTTGGAAAATTGTATATTGTTTATAGATTTTCGTTACGTTTTTAATCAATATGTATACTTATCATATAGTATAAAGGGATCAATACTTACAATATTTCAAGCACAATGCAATATCTAAATATTTCTAATTTTTTGTCTATCACAGGGTTATAATGAACTCAGATTTGACATGAAGTATAAAGGTACAGACTACTACGCCGTGTACAGAGGTTTTAAGGTAGAAAATGAAGCAGCAAAGTATAAGATGAACTTTACGTCATTCAGTGATGGGAATGTTGAAGACTCGTTTAAATATCACAACGGCATGAAGTTTACAACCATTGACTCTGATAACGATGAGTGGTCAGATGGCAACTGTGCTGTAGACAGGAGAGGTGGTTGGTGGTATGAGGGTTGTCACGATGTTAACGTCAACGGTGAATGGGCGAGTCGTGTTGTTATTAAAGGAATTCATTGGGCTAGCATTACAGCCAGGACTGACTCTCTAGACTTTGTTGAGATGAAACTTCGTCAAATGTAAACAACCCGAAAACAATGCTATGGTAAAAAATGGATATACCGTTATCAAATTATTTATATAATCTTCAGAAACATAAACAACGTATCATATATTAAAATAAATAGATGTAAACATTTAACTAAGGCAATATTTTCTTTATGGAGAGTCTACATAATGAGTTTAAAATTAACGAACATTAAACCAAACATTTTATTTTAAAAATTGATTTTTAAAACCACAACAGATTTTGTTTGGCTATTATGATGTAATAAAGCCATGCATACACTCATCTGGAATTGAAATTCCTCATAGATTGACTGTGTGTGTGTTAGCCATTAAAACAGAAAAAAAACCGACTATGATGGTGTCATTTATTTCTTGCATATTCATAACTAGTAGTGTAGTTGTCATCTACCACTATATCTTTAATTAGACATTCACTCGGATCGTGTGAAGTTCAACTCCAATAACGTGTGTAATTTTTGTGCACTTTTTTTCAATAACGTTTTTTCGCATAGTTTTTCGAAAGATGTATAAATGCCATCCAAAATCACATAAAGTAGATAGTAACTGTTAGTTTGGGATCTGTAAAGCTTTGTATTATAAATGTGAAAATTAGGCGGTCATACAGTAGAATAAAATTAGATTATTTAAGTAAATCCTTTGTTTAAGTAGTTAATATTTTATCTAGTGTATCTCATATCTAGCATGTTTGTTTATTAAGAAATCTCTAGTATCACATATAAGTACATATTTGTACAAAATAAAAATTTAATTCTGAATATGTTTGTATTACTGAAATTGGAATATTCTTTTATTATCGTTTTCAAGGTATATAACCATGTTCTCACAAATTAAGTGAGTAATTTTAATTGTTATCTCCCGTTAACAATTTAGTGTCGTTTGTGTTCCATACCATAGGCTAGAGAAATTTCCAATTACCTAATTTTATAATTGTATTTGTTTAGTATGTTTACATGGACACAATTAACGGAAAGCAATTATATGCATTTATATACATCTTTATTATAACGTGCACTTAATTTTTATATCAAGCCTTCCTTTGTGTAGTTTAAGGAATTGTTTGGTTTATATATTTGGTTTATATATTTACAAATACATCCGTTTATACAACTTATGGTTAATGTGTTATTTCATATTTTTTGTTTTTTTTTTTGGTTTGTTGTTTGAACACATACTAAAATCTTCTGAATTATTAAACATATAATAACTGTCGTTATTTTTTAATGTGATGAAGGCAATGAGGACCAAGGCTAATTGTAGTGCGTAAATGAGTCCACACAGCTACGATGGTACTTTACTTACGTTATGGAACGTACACAATGACCAAGTTTTTCCTACTCATGTCGAGATTACAGAAACGTGTGAACTCTATATAATTGTACTGATATTAATTTGTGATCCTAGGATAAATCAATAACTTTATTAAGTTAATGTTTCCATTTCTATCAGGATTTTGTCATGCAAGATACAACTGCTGATGTGGTCTGTAAATCCTGTAAGCTTGTCAGTTCCTCTAACGTGAATGTTTTCAGTAGTAAGCTTGTCAGTTCCTCTAACGTGAATGTTTTCAATACAGGTCAGACCTTCCGACACCAGACCACTGCTGACAAGATTTTACCGTAATGTTATTTTTGGTATTAGTTCGAGTATTAGCATTATTTTTTTATCTCTGGTCCTAGCTAAAAGTTGATTTTAGCATCGCGCTTTATTACTTTTCTGAATTCCCGTTAACATGTTAGATGGTGAATAATGAGCTTCAAACTGTAATGTTCGTGTGTTAGAATTGAGAGATTAGCTTGCAATCTGAAGACGTGTGTATGTGCGTGTTCCCAGAGTATTGCTGCCATCAAAGACATTTGTATGTGTGTGTTCCCAGAGTATTGCTGCCATCAAAGACATTTGTATGTGTGTGTTCCCAGAGTATTGCTGCCATTAAAGACATTTGCAGGCTGTCACGGTAGGGGGAGCGTGACTGGGTAAAATGGGATACGAAGGTTCTATACGGCGTCAAACGTACAGACAAGGGGAGGCTACTGGAGAAATATTTGTGGCACAGCCTAAATGTAAACCACTCAAGGCGATAGATTCCTGGTCTAGATCTTTCGAGTTTACCTGTTCTAGAAGTTGAGCGCTCGAGTAGAAAATGTACCGCTGGATATCCAGTGTTTTTCTAACTAATCTAAGATGGATTTAAAAATGAATTTATTAATCCTTACACATGAGAATATAAAAAATTAAGCCCAAACCTTTGCTGAGATTTAAAACAAAAGTATGAAAAAGCTGGAAAAAAAGAGCAAGTACAATATGAAGCACACATAAAATCAATGAGGAATTTGATAATGAAAGCATTAGATCTGAACTATTCAGACACTTAAAAGCTAATGGTATCGATGTTTTAGTAAATAAATTGCTAGGAACTAAGATATCTATCCTAAAAAAAAGAGACCAAGTAAGTTTTAATTATTATCAAATGATATCTTCAAGATTCCACTAAAGGAAATTGAACTTTTAATTTTCAATTTTTTTTACTACACACACGATTAAACGGAGAAAACATTTTGATTAAAGAAAAATCCTTTATTATTTAGACCTATACTAAACTGTTTTCAAGTAGGTGTGATATTAAAGGGGATATGACTGCGTCTAAAATTTGAACTTTTAATTGCCCCAGTTTTTTTTTATTCACAAAAAATTACAAACAGAATAACAACATGCGGATAAAATGGGAAAAAAAAGTAATTTGAAATTGATTAAAATTATATCTATATGCCGATTTGCCGTTCCCCGTAGTGTAACATAAGTATATTGGAGAAAGTTTAGGGAAGATCACTCCCGCTTTAATTTTAGCGTAGCACGATTTAAAGCTCTCGAATTTGTCTTAAAATATTCTGTAAACGATTATACGTATGTTTTTTTTAAGATTTCCTTTTCGCCATGGCTATAATATAAACGATTGGAGCAAAGTCTATAAAAGTAAAAGAAATTTTTCCGTAAACCAGAAAAAGCATATGTTTATCATCAACCTCTAGATTGATTCTCGAAGAATATTGAATATCATATAACTTGTAATGCATAGAAGAAATACTATATAACTTTGAACATATATGACGTAAAATATATTATATTCAACTTATCTGACTACATATAAGAGTTTTTTAATCAATAAAGCGTACAGTAAATCAGTCATCAAAACCTGACCCTTACAAACTTCATAAAAACGACTTAAAAACATGTTTTCATGTACTAAAGAGCAAGAAAAACGTATAAATAAATTATCAAAACCAAAAGCTGATTAAGCGTGTTAAAATATGCTTATATTTGTGTGAACCAACTAGAATATATTACATATTTACCAAAATAAAGTGCATTTCATTGTGTGTATATTCATAATTAGTTGCAGTTTACTCTATCATTGTTATTATTATATTATGTAGCATGTAATAGTAATCGTATAGTTTAAACTCTTACTTGGATATCAAAAGTCGGATGATTTTTATGAACAAAAAATGGCATCCACTGGCCGTTGACTATCTTAAATAATAGGTTTCTATGAGACTGAGAAATTTAAACTGTATCAGAATTAACTGAAGAAAGATGGCGCTGAATGTGCTATGTATTAAGGATGAGACCAGACAAAGTTAGAGCAATGGCGCTCAATTGTCAACCTGAAAGTGGACTGTGAAGGTTGCGGGAGACTTACATACAGACAACAGAAAACTAAGTGGACTGTGAAGGTTGAGGGAGACTTAGATAAAGACAACAGAAAACTAAGTGGACTGTGAAGGTTGAGGGAGACTTAGATACAGACAACAGAAAACTACTGACAAGAGCAGAGAAATTTGCGAAAGACTGGCTTTCTCAGGCGTCCCCATTTACCCTGGGTATCGACGGTAAAGGGTGATGATGATAAAAATTATGCAAACAATATTTTAAAAACATTTTTTTCTGTAAACCAAAACTCCAATTTGGCCGACTGAATTAACATATCGATTTCTCAAGTGTTTGGATTTTAATGTTTTTGTTAATTGTAAAAAAAAACTAAATTATTTTTTGAAACACCTTGAAATTACTTATTGAACGGAAAATGCAGATCAGTCAATATAAAATGTACGTCTTTATATTGATTTTAAAATTCTGGATACATTTGGAAACTGCTGGAATCCATTTCCTAATTTTAATATCTGTCTCAGTTTAGGACAAAGTACGAACAATACGATTTTTGTTTTAATAGTTGTGCATTTTTACAAGCTTTTATTTGTCGTGCATACTATGTTTGGTCAATCCATTTCAATTTTCTCACCGTCGAGTACCCGGACCTAAAAAGTTTGAACCTGACCATCCTACCCTGATTTGTGAGGACATCCGATAGTCACACCTAAAATAATGAATCTAGTGCTGTTTTTTTTTCCCCATAAATTTAGCACCCTACTTTTACTCGAAAAAATTACGCCCCTGACTGTATATGCGAACTTTCTAAAAATAGCAGACGATGAACCAGGAGAATCGTACCTGGTCAAAACATTTTTGGTTTTTTGATAACGATTCATCTCTGGGTGAGGCGAGGCCTAGAATAGAGAAGAGTTTTGTCGATTTTAATGTTTACGGAAAACTGGAATGCTGTATTAATTTTAAAGTGTAAAATGTTAAGTCCATTCGAATGAAGAAAATTTAAGATAAATTTTTAAAAAATACGTCTGTCCTAGAGTGGTTTCAAGTAAAATATAGTTTGAAAAAAAAAACACTTAGCGAATATAGTCAGTAATACGCATCAACGTGTATGCAGTATTTCTTCCAGACTTTTTTCTTTGTGACCCCTGGGGTCAATTTCTGAGGGAGAGGGCGGACACTGGTAAAAGTATACATCTTATATAAATTTTATTTCATTGGGGGGGGGGGGGGGGTGGGGGGGGGGCGGTAGTAACTCGTTTAACCCGTAGAGTCCGAGTCCAGCCCAATTCTCTGTTTAGATTTGTCAACACAAGAACAAACTACAGGGCAGCTGTTTTATTTTCTAGTTTTCTTTCCCCAAAATAACTTGCTGTCCCCAGTTAATGAGCCTCATCTGACCCGCTCCTGAACCCGGGACGTAAGAGTTAGTGAATCCCACGGTCTCCCGCCCCATTCCGCCGTCTCCCGAGAAGCTAATGATACGGTTGATTAAAAGTTGATAGTTTTGATTAAAAGTTGGTAGGGTTGAATAAAGGTTGTTAGGGTTGATTAAAAGTTGATAGGGTATATTAAAAGTTGATAGGGTTGATTAAAAGTTGATAGGTTTGATTAAAAGTTGATAGGGTTGATTAAAAGTTCATAGGGTTGATCAAAAGTTGATAGGGTTGATTAAAGTATAGTTAATTTATTGATTAAAAACAGAATTTGAATTTTAAAACACAAAATAGTGAACTTTCTATAAAATACTATGCGAATTCTACACTAAACACTTTTTGTTTGAGATTCACATGTAAAATAAAAAAGTAAAGAACCTTAACCGGCTAAATGTTATTGGATCATGTTTTATTCGGTTGCTTCCCTTTGATAGATGTGGTAATAATCTTTCAGGTAATTTAGAGGTCATGAATCGATGTAATACTGACAACATTTAAACCCTGACTCGACATTAAACCCTGACTCCACATTTAAACACTGAACATTTAACACTTGAATTCAAATTTAAACACTGACTCAACTGTTGAACACTAACTTCACATTAAAATACTAACTGCACATCTACGCAATTTTGTAGTACTAAAAATCTGCAACGTTTCTGCACACAGGCGATATATTAGGAACATAAATGACGTCACGCATTTTGGACGATTTTTACCTCCCACCTCCCCTCCGTCACACGTCGTCACAAAAAGCCAACCCCCCCCTAAAATGACGTCACAACTCAGCCTACAACCCCCCCCCCCCCTCTCAAAATTGCTATTAAAGTTTTCTTAAAACATCGTTATTTTTCCAAAATCTTGTCAGAACTCCGTCAAACAGAGTATTTTGATCAATTCCTATTACAACTTATTAAAACCGTTTTCTAAAACGCGAAATAACGGCTAAAACTCGTTTCTAACATTGCTTTTTTTTATAATGCAAAAGTGTGACGTCACACCA